AGTACGATCTTGAAGGCGTTGAACGCGTCGTCTGCTATCAGTCGCATCAGCTGCAACCAGCTGAGCGGAACTATCCAGTGCATGACAAGGAACTCCTTGCCATGAAGTGAGCACTCGCGAAGTTCAGAGTCTATCTGCTAGGAGATAGACCCTTCATTGTTTACACTGACCATGCGTCATTACGCACGGCAGGAAACAGCCCGCATCTTTCACAACGAATGGCGCGGTGGTTGGCATTCTTTGCAGAATACAACTTTACGGTCGAGTACAAACCAGGACGACTTAATGTCGTCGCTGATGCACTCTCACGTCGTCCCGACTTTGAAACAGTCGTGAAACCCAACAGTGAGACAGTCACTGTTGCGGTTATGACGTCCTCAGTCCCATCTACAACGTCGTATGATGATGTGAGGCGGGCGTACGCCCAAGATGGTGAGATTGTGAAGTTGTTGACACATCTCTCACAGCCATCTCGAGAATCGTTGAAACGATTGTCGTCTGCGTATCGATCTGCATCTGATCGATGCACTACTCGAAACGGTATACTGTATTATACAGCCGTTTCTGGTGACACACCACGTGTTGTCATTCCAGATGATATTGATCTGCGTTTGCGGATCATGTTCGAGTATCACGATGCTCCTATAGGAGGACATCGTGGCCGGGAGAAAACATATCTCACGGTGAGTCGAGACTTTTACTGGCCCCGCCAGTATCAGTTTGTGCGAAAGTATGTTCGCGCATGTGAAGTCTGTCAACGAGTGAAGTCAAGTCCTTCACTGCGTGCACCTTTACAGCCTCTACCGGTTCTGGCTGAGTGCTGGGAATCCATCTCAATGGATTTCGTCTTCGGGTTACCCAAAGACGCACGCGGGAATACGGGTATTCTTATCGTTGTTGACAGATTCAGCAAAATGGTACACCTAGTGGCTGTACCAGAGTCAACCACGGCAAGTGGCTGTGCTTGTGTCTTTATTGACACAATCTTCCGACTTCATGGGTTGCCCCGTGAACTCGTATCAGACAGATATCTACGATTCACTGCTGATTTCTGGCGTTCCGTGTTCAAATCACTCGGAACGCGCTTGAAGATGTCGACATCTGATCATCCAGAGTCAGATGGTCAGACGGAACGTGCCAATCGTGTCCTTGAAGAGATACTTCGAGGATACGCACACTCCTTTAAGAGTTGGAGTGAGTTTTTGCCAATGGTAGAGTTTGCCATTAACAACTCGGTGCATGCGTCCACGACACATACACCGTTTTACGTGAATGGCTTGCGCCATCCGCGTGTGCCCACCTTACTAGAGTGTAACTCTGGTTTAAGGGGGGGAGGGACTCGCGCGAGCAAAAACCGATTTGGTTAACGCTCATCACGCTCTGACGAAGAAGTCATTGCGTTTGATGCCGATATCGATAACATCGATATCGAAGAAGATGATGCCAGTGATAGTGCGAAAGCCCTCACTGAAGAAAAGGTTGATGTTGCTGCAGTGCACTCACAGCGCACTGAAGCTAACGAGTCATCAGATGAGTTCATACTGGCTCGTGAAACGGTAGTCCGTTTTGTGCAAGACTCCATCGCCGAAGCGGTGGATAAGCAAAAGCAAAACGCAGACAAGAATGGAAAGACAAACACTCTTTTATTTAATAAATGAGACTTAGTCCTACGTCTACGGTTAATCTACCAAAGCATGTAGTGACTAACTTGGGTAGCAGTAAACTACTACCCAAGTACATCGGCCCATTTCGTGTATTGCACCGCCTAGGCAACGCATACACGATCGAGTTGCCACGTAAGATGCGAACGCATCCCACGTTTTACGTTGGTCGGCTTAAGCCGTACCATCAGTACGCTGCTTCTTCCGATGAAGAACGCCCTTGCGCTCAAGCATCTCGCAGAGAGCCTTGTGCTCCCGATGGTGGGCATCGACAAGGGTCTGAAGAGCAGTTGTCTCAGCCCGAGACCGCTCAACATCCCCACGAGCTACCCTTAGCTCGCCACGCAGAGACGTCAGAGCTCTCTCGTTCTCAAGCTGAGCAAAGGAAAACTCAGCTCGATGCTTCAAGACAGTGTCCGCCATTTGGAGACGCCTGTTCCGCTCATGTTCGAGATCGCCGCGTAACCCTTGCGTTACGCGATCAAAGAAGCTCTCGGGAACACACGGATCCCCATGATCGTGTGGAGAGCGTCTTTCCTCCTCCTCCATCTCCATTAGAGGACTCTCGCGGTGGACAGCGCTATCTAGTTGAGCAGCTGTTGAACCACCGCGACTTGAACGGACGTCGGACGAGTTATCTCGTCCGGTGGCGCGGCTATCCCCCGTCCTGGGATACTTGGGAGCCCCGCTCCCAACTGATGGTTGACGTACTGGGTCTGGTTGAGCAGTACGACGCGGCACATCCTGTGCCGCAGAAGGACCGCCGGAGAAAGTCTTCCCGGCACGGTCGTAAAGGGATTTCAGGTTGTCAATCCCTTCGTACATCTCAATAGAGATACGTACGCGCCACCACGGGCTATTAGGGAGGTAAGCCTCCTTAGGTTCTCGTGCAGAGTTGTTCACACAACATGGGCACGAGTCTCCCAAAGAGAGGCAGGGTAATCCTTTCTCCCTTGACAGACGATGCAGCTTGAAGCGTGCACCTGTCGAAGTTCGCTTTTCAAACTTATCACGAGCTTTGATAAGTTTGTCGTTCCAAGCGTCACGACCTACATCCTCGAGGTTATGGATGTAGGCGTTCCACGCCTGAAGTAGTGAGGGACCATCACGCTTGTGATTCCCACTGTACCATCGATGTCTAAAGAAAGCATCGATGAAGAATTCACGCTCAGTGTGATAGTTTTTCGCACTGGGGTCAAGGTGATGGATCCTTGACGAATCGAACAATCGTGTTCGATAACGATCACTCGTCGTCGCCGACAAGTGATCCATGAAGGATTTAGGAGGCATCCATGCCTTCTTTTCTGGAGCGAGACGCAACACATTGCGGTCCCGCTCTTCCTGCTACGTGCCGACAAAAGGACTGGAACCTCGTTGCGAAGTGGTGTCCATAGGAGAACCGACACCACTGTTAGCGCCCGAGTCTTGCGACCTCGAGCGCCTTCGCTTCGGCGATGGTTCATCTGATTCGTCAGATGAACCAAAGATGCTACGACGCATAGCATCATCCATGCCGCGCTTGACAGGCGGCTTGGTTTCAACCGCCTTCGATACCGATTCCTCTTCTGTATCAGGAGAGTATGAGACACCGAGCTCATACTCTGTGAAGACATGAGTGTCTTCACGACGAGCGCCTGCATCACCAGGTGACACAGGCTGAGTCGCTTCAGCAACCGATGAGACATCAGTTGCTGTGATTTCTGCTTCGGCTTCCGCACAGAGACGTGCGGACACGCTCTCGGCGGCCTTGCTCGTGCATCGCATGGGCTTGTTAACCATGCGATGAAATGTTGGGAAGTGGACTCGGACCAACAAGTGCAAACCCTGTCCCAAATGATTTGGGACGAGTATCCATTTAGTCAATCAGTCACTAAAGTGACTGATGGTTAAGGGGGGGTGATGTAACGGGGTGAATCGTTACATAACAATTTATAAGAAATTGTTACTAGAATATAACTATAAGAGTTATGTTCTCAGAACATTGTCATAAGGACAAATATTCTGTAGCACTTACGAGTAGTTCCTAATTGGTTGATATAGGCCATTATATCAACCAACGAAGGCGCGCCACGACAGACGCACGCAATGAGTGGTGAGCAGATACTTGATATACACATTTGTATTTAGACATAGTTAGATGAGGATAAACAGTGGTATGTTTTCAGACATTAACTATTATAAATACAGTTCTACTTTTTACTTTAACCAAGTACTCGCTTCTTCTTACCGTCTTCCTCTGCACGTACGAGTGTACGTGAAGTTCCGAGGCACCGCCTTATTCTGTCATCAGAATAAGTAGCTTGTACTGTTACCAGTACAAGCTTCAGGGTGCCCCGTTACAATCGTGGCTTTTGGATGATACGTGCGACTGTACCAAACATTGAATTGCATCACTGACAGCGGCGCATTGGCGTATTATTTGGGATAATAAAAGCGTCGATTGTTTTTGTCTTGGTAGCCATTTTTAGAATTAAGGTGATCTAGCGTTACGGGCACATAATCAAAATGTTTTGGGTTGCTGCTAAAGCCCTCAGACATGACATATACACGATTTGCAATACCAGGCAGCGTAGTCCCTTCAAAAATGATGCCTAAAGACTGAGGAGCAAGCCCTGAAGCTCGCCCTTTGATACCAGCTAAATCCAGCTCGGAGAACCAGATCAAGATGGAAAACACTGTACTTCAGCAGTGAATAAAAACGGAGTATGACGTTTATAATGTTTGTATAAACCCTATACAGTATACTCGGGCAACGCAATCAGCCTTTGCTTTGGAGCGTCAACATTTCTTTTTATGTTTAAATTCACCTTCGATCAATTTAAAGCCAATCACGTGCGTGCATCGCAATAGTGACCTAGCTAAAGATTGACTTGAATATGCATTTACACCAACGATAGGGAACATGCTAGATCGCACTTAATACGACGCGTACGGTTCACCGAGCGTTTTTTGCAGCGAAGATAAAGAGAAGTACGATTTCAAAAAGTTTGGCTATCTGCTTGCGCACAGCCACTAATAGCTTCATCTTTCTGGCTCGCAATGAATTGTGGGCTTCGCGGCTTGCCAATTTTAAATGTCAACGCGACCAATACAAGCTGAAAAAGTGCAGAATAGACTTTATTTCGCGGTAAATTTGTCCTTAAGCTATACTACATTCATCGAATTGCTCGCTTGTTTTCCGACAAAAGACAAAGATCGAGAAACAGAGGGATTGGACGCAGCACGAACATAGCACAAGTATCACGGCTCAACCAAAAGTATTCAACCTTACTTTGCTCTACAAGCCTACGAACTCGACGAAGCCTACGAGCTCAACAAAGCCTACGAGCTCAACGAACCCTACAAACCATACGAAGCCCTCATAGCCAACTTAGCATCCAGTAGGTTTAGAGGATGATCGGCCTCGCGTGGAGCTTGCAAGAAAGCGTGATACGCTCGTATATCCTTTACTATCTGTCGGACTTCTTTAAAATAGCCACGGTATTCCTTGGAGTATCGCGCAAATGCACCGCGATAATACGCGTACGTCAGTAGGCTGATCTCTCCATTGTACAATTGCGAATGGCTCAGGCCAAGGAAATCCTCCATCCGTCTTATCTCTTCATCAGACGGTTTTCTGAACATTTTGAAAAAGTTCTTCACCTTCGTGAGAAACCACGACGACTCTACCGCCTTCTGTCCATGGCCCATCCCAGTGCGGAGAGAGTTTCCCACATTTGCTGCTACATCCGTGATTATCGACTGACCCCCGTGCCTTTCTTCAGGTCCAGGATCGGTAGTCACATGGTCATGACCCTCCATCGTGTTGACAGTATTTGGTGGAGTTGAGACCGCGGCCAATGTCTTCGCTGTATCCATTGTGTCGTCAGCCGGGACCGACATGACGCCACGGCCCATACACTCGATCAGCGCGAAAGCGAGAAGAAGAAAGCCTTTTGCCATCAGTGAGACAGTGAACCCGGTCAGGACGCGACTCGGATATAAATTCAGCAACTTTGCCGTGCGCGCGGTGCGTTTTCAGGAATGAACCAGTGTTGTGCAGTCTCGGAGCAAAACGTGATGTGGAGATGAGTGCGGGGGTCAATCGACCAAGCTTTTGCAAAGAGACATTTTGCCGCGAGCACCTGATTCTATTCACGAAGAAACTGTTCCCCCGTACTTTGCACATAGCTATGGGAGCCCAGCTTTCACAGATTGTGAACGCTCTCCTGACTGCGTCTAACTTGTTCTTTTTTAGACATTACGTGTTCGAATGTCAGGGCATAAACTCAAGAAGAGTGCTCTGATTGTGGCACTTAAAACCCGATAAAATATAATTTTTGCGGGATATTCGTTTCCGAGGGCTTAAAGGCGTGTCGCTTCTATAGATACGCACAAATGCAGAATCATGAGACTATCCATGACTGCAGCTGCCAGTAATCAGCAAATCTGGTCCGTATGAGCTTTGATGTAGCAATTTGTCAGAGATAGATAATTTGACACTGTATTCTTTGCAGACATACATAATTTTTGAATTTGTGTATTCATGTTCTTTAATATCAACAATGATGTCTCCTCACTGTACCACTCGTCAGAGATGCCCCTTCCACGCAAAAAACGTTCTTTAAAATCTAATCGCAAATTGCAATGTCGATCGATCGTTACGGACCCAGCTATTGCTCTACGCCACTACTTGACCACACTGAAGGCTGTGACTTGCGTAAACATAGTTCTGATTCTGCTAATTCTCATACGCATGAGTCTGCATCTCTTTTGTTTCGCAAAGTTGTAGCGTTACCTGATTTATGGTCTCTTGATTGATGGATATTGATATCGGGCCGCCCTTTTCAAGCTGTCATCACCCGATTGCAGATTTATACTGCTTGGTCGTCTGGCTATCAATACCTGATTCGTAGACCAAAGTCGCTGGCTTGTCTGGGTGTCATCACTTGATTGCGTCTCATTTAAGTATCTGCCAATGCATTACACGTCCGATACGATATTCAACGACCCGCTGATATGTTTTGGATAGCATTGTAGTTGTAGAAGATCGCGTGGGTGGTCGACGGGCAGGTCCATGCATCCTCCCTCAATAGACCAGTCCTCCTTTCTTGTATCCTTCAGTACACAATAGAACATACATAGTGCTTCTAAGTCGTGCTCACAATCACGCTCATCGTCCGGACACAAAATCCACTGTGCCTACCTTAGGTAATCGTCATGCGTCACGATACACAATCAACGACAGGGGTTTGGCGCTGCGATCGTGCGAGTGCTCGACACACAAATTAGTCTCATGCAGATTATCCGACGAACGATCAGCTGATGCTTAGTGCGCCCGCGATTCTAAAGTTTTATTGTATTTCTTCCTAGGACAGCACCACAGACTCCCACTTTTGCGACATAAAGCGCCTTGTGAATGAGCAACGCAATGACAGCCCACGACTAGCGTCCCAGTGCTTTTTTGACATGCGGATGCTGGGAGCAAGATGTGCGAGCGAGGGCTTTACGTTTTTGTCGGAGCGAGAAATAGCGCCATCAACGACATGCATGGAACTCATCACTTAAGCTGTCAGAGGTAAAATCAGTCTACATACCCTGTCAAAGTGATGAGCAGAGGTGCACGAAGAACGTCGGCCAAATATAGTAAACTTTATCTCAGGTCAGATAGTTTGCGCCCCTTTTTACTGCTTCGTACCGCCAAGCCCGTCGAAAACCGCGTTGATTTGGATACGTTTACAGCGTTCACGCCACTGTCTTCGCTCAGGCTGCTGGTCTAGACCGAAAACGTGCTCAGCACAGCAGTAGTTAATCTCTCATTCGCGGCCATACCATCATACCTAGTACTCATGATGTGCAATGGCTCGATACGAGGAGAGTTGTGGTTTCAACGAAATCGGGTCGTTTTTCAACGCGAGGATGTAACACTCGCCAGGAGCGTCGGGGAATTGTGGAAAACTGGCATGCGGCAACTCCGGGCCGTAGCGAAGCGGAATTTTCGCAGAATTAAGACAAAAATTCAGGGAGCACTCCTGCTCCTATGTCAGCGACAACTCGCCAGGCAACCGGGAGAGCCGCCACCTATGGTGACCAGCCCCGTACAACCACCGGACTCTACTGAGGAACCGGCGTTGCTAACCAGGCTTAAGATATATCAGACATCCTGCAACCGATAAAAGGTTAAATAGACTGTCTGCTTCTCTCTCTCAATACGACAAGTGTTGAATTATCTGTGTCAAAAACCGCAATTGTTGACGCTTTCTCACTCCTTGTCTGCTGCGAACATTACAGCTATCTGATCCACTACTAACGCCAAAGCCAACAGCAGTGACGGTTGAAGCTTCAAACCACGACTCACATCCCACGAACAGCAACAACTCACTTGTGTTCTATACATTGTATTCTACGCGACGACAAAGTTTTGCCCACGACATCACATCAAAACCTCGACATTCCTTCACTCGCTGCCAAAAATGCTTTCTACGCATAGCTGAAATTTATCGTTAATAGTGTATCACGACGCGTTACGATTAAACTCGCGCAGGCACGATATTATAATGTGTCTGCCGGTGAATGGTATCACATAGCACGACTCAATGCACTATTTACGTACAATGTGTGTAGAAGGATACAAGAGTGGAGAGGTGGTCGATCAAAGGAGGAGGTTTAGACCTGCCCGTGCTGGATATCTCTCATTACCAGGGCTGGCACCAAGCGGTTTCTTACAATCGAATTTTACGGGGTTTTATTTAAACCCGACAGCCTGCGATCTTCCAAGATCAGGTTTTTGTAGGTTTTGTTCCCTGATCCTAGCACGTCTCACACAGATCCGACCGGCCGCTGATTCCTTCAACTGCAACGAAGCCAACAAACATAATCTATCGTCAGTGTGCCTTTAGCTGTACTTACTACTATGTCGCAATTCTCGTTTTCTTCAAGCCAGTTTGGCGAGCCTTTAGCTTTGCTTACTACTATGTCGCAATTCTCGTTTTCTTCAAGCCAGTTTGGCGAGCATGTCTATAACTTCAGCAAAGACGCTCTCTACCTTTAGCAGTGAGACGCGCAGGTCGCCATGTCGGACTTTAGAATGGTCATAGATGATGATGTTGAATTGGAGTTCTGGCGCCAAAACGGAAGCGTGGTGGTCGCTCTCCAAGCGCACCGTGGAGCTGGTTTATTGATGATGCGTCTACCTAATGCCAAGAGTGCCGAATGCAGGCACTAAAGACTCTAATTAGTCACTATAAGAAGAGCGAAAGCGCCGAGGTACACCTCAACTCTCGTGATTTAACGATGTGGGACTGCCGTGGAAAGCACCTCTTACAGATAAAAGAATTTCTGTAAATTTTCCTATAGACGATGAGCCCCGCGACTTGTTCGATGAAAACACGCAGGCCATTTGTAACGGGGTGAACCGTTACATAACAATTTATAAGAAATGTTAATAGAATATAACTATAAGAGTTATATTCTCAGAATATTGTCATAAGGACAATATTCTGCAGCACTTACGAGTAGTTCCTAATTGGTTGATATAGGCCATTATACCAAACGACGAAGACGCGCCAAGACAGACGCACGCAATGAGTGGTGAGCAGATAGTTGATATACACATTTGTATTTAGACATAGTTAGATGAGGATAAATAGTGATTTATTACAGACATTAACTATACCAAATGCAGTTCTACTTTTTACTTTAACCAAGTACTCGCTTCTTCTTACCGTCTTCCTCTGCACGTACGAGTGTACGTGAAGTTCCGAGGCACCGATTTACTCTTTCATCAGAATAAGTAGCTTGTACTGTTACCAGTACAAGCTTCAGGGCGCCCCGTTACACCTGGTAGCACTTCGTAGTCCGTCCAAGGACCACGTTCACATCTAACATGAATATGTTGGATGATGAAGATGACCAAAGCTTTCACGCTACGTGTGACGGCTACTTCCATTTGAGCGATGTCGAATGGGATGCGGTTGAACGGATGGGTTCAACCATGGGCATCCATGCTGTTAGCGTCATGCTAGAGGCTCTCAATAGAGATGCCCAACATGCTACTATCGCCAAGTTCATTCAAAATGAACTTGACGCTGAACGCGAGAAAGTAGCCTTGCTTCACCAACAGGGTTCTCAACAAGCAGAGTTGTTGAGAGAACAGGGTGCTCAACAGTTTGAACTGTTGAGACAGCAGCAGGCTGCTGCTGGTGGGTCGATGCACTCGCGTCGACCCGAAACCTTGAAGGTTGACATCTCCAAGTATAGTGGAGTCGAAGAGGACTCCCTCTTGAGATAGTTCGTCGAATTAGACGACGCCATAAGGGCGCGTCGCATCGACGACGGGGATATGCAAGCTGCATTTGCCCAGTCAAATCTGGCAGGACGTGCCAAGACTTGGGCACTGGGGCTCAAGTTGCACGACCCATATGCGTTTGGGTCGTTAGAAGTCTTCAAGTCGCGGCTCAGACAAACGTTTGAACCGCCTAGAGTGAGTTTCAGAGCTTGAACTGAACTCTTGAAGCTCAAACAGGGTAAGCGTGATGTGCACGCTTACGCACAGCATATACGACATCTCACGAGTTGTATAAGTTCCGAACCCGGTTGATGAACACACGTTGGTTTCGGTGTTCATGCAGTGTCTTGCGGATGGCCCCGTCAGGACTCACCTGTTCCGACTTGAACTAGATTCACTAGAACAAGCCATTTCCATTGCGGAACAAGAAGACTTCAGTCTGAGACAGGCTCGCGCCAGCTCGACATCATATCGTCCACCGAGACGATATGACAGCGGAAGTCCAGAGCGGTTGGAACTCTGTTATGTAGAGAGCGAGAAGGCTCGCTCTACAGGCTGCAAGAAGTTGCAGAGATGCAATAGATGTCAAAAGACAGGACACTACGCTTACGAGTGTAGTGCTCCTCGTCCAGTGTCTCGCAACACTGGGCGTAGTGACCGTCCACCCATGAGAAAGGGGCAGGGACGTGGTTCCGCTGTTGGTGCAAAGACGCAACAACGGGATGGCCCGTCAAAAAACGGACAGGATCAGTAGGTGCGGAGCACCCTACTGGTCCAGCAACGTCAGGAGAATTTGTAGGCCTCTTGATGAAGGTTGCTCCCAACACACAAACGTTGTGCGTTGCTGCTCTAGGTATTGAGATCTCACTCATTACCTTGAAATTTGAAGTGACAAATAAGTTGTCCCTTCGAGCTCTAGTCGATTGTGGGGCGTCCAACAATTTTGTGCAACGCCAATCGCTGGAAGATGGTCACTTCAAGTTTGTTAAGTGTGACACACCTCCTACGAGGATGACGGTACGTCTTGCGACAGGCGCATCCGTAACCGTCATGAAGCGTATAGTGAAGATCCACTATACGCTAGAAGATGCCCAATATGACGATGACTTTATCGTATTTGGAGTTGGATGACAAATTTGATGTCTTCTTTGGATTACCGTGGCTCAGAAGGTACGAACCACGGGTAAACTGGCAACATCGGACAGTAACGATGCCTGCCGCTTGTTCATCCGATGGCCATCTGATGAACGTTTTGGAGCGTCCACAAGCGTGTGGATGTACTACGAGTGAGTGCGATGGCCTCACTTGTGGTACGGTCGTTAGTACGACTGCACAAAACCTTAGTGTAACAAACGGTTACACTTCGGAGCAAAGTTCCGGCGGCTGTAAGGAAACACAGGCTGCGCCGAAGGTCCACCACTCGAATAAGTCAAGTGGACCGGGACAAAGATGTATCCCTAGCGGGGAACATCTAGAAGAGATACAATCGATTGCTCAGGTTCGAAACGATGGGAACTTATTTCCGCCGTATTTTTAATATCAGGAATTACACCCTTAACTTCCTCTAGGCGAAACGATAATCCTAGATCGACTGGAGAGTCTTTCGTAGAGGATCTCGCTGTGGTTGCGCAACCCCAGCTAAAGGAAGTAAAGGGAATAAGTCCCAAGATTACAAATAGGGCGGAAATAAGTTCCCCGAAACCCGCGGGAATAAGTCCCCGGGAAGACGAAGGAATAAGTCCTTCGAAGCCTGAGGGAATAAGTCCCCAGGAAATGACAGAGACATTGAATGTCATAGTCAATAACGGATCAAGTGTAGGCGCTTATACACTTAATCTGATTGCGCCTTCGAAGTTAACTTCGGAGATCACTCAGTTGCCAACGCTCGAACATAAAAGATTCTTGCGTGATCTGCGTAGTGGCAAAGTCAAGCAGATCTGCATACTCGTCGCTGAAGACAAGTATGTAACCGACATAAGGTCAGCAACAGTGTTTACTGAGAACGAGAGAGTTCTCAGTAGTTCATCTATGGACGAGAGTGTCCTAGATGAAAAGACACGAATTGAGCGATATGAGTCCCAATCATGGGAATCGCTCAAGGAAAATCCTCTCTATGAAGATTTGGTTGAATTCGAGGATGTATTCCCTGATACTGTTCCTTGCGAGTTACCGAAGGATAAAGTATTTGACACGAGGTCGAGCTTAAACCAGACTCGAAGTACTGTGTCATGAAGCAGTGGCCACTGCCTCGTGAACAAGTACTTGCGATCGACAAGTTCTCTGCCGATCGTTTAGCTGCGGGACATGTGAGGGAATCAACTTCCCCACATAGCTCTCCGACCTTCTGTGTGCGAAAGCAACAGGAGGGTGGCGGATAGTGCATGCATTTAACAAGTTGAATGCTGCAACGGTACCGGCTCAGATGCCGATTCTAAGGAAGGACGTAACCATTGATGGTATGTCAAAGAGTACCATCTATTCGTCCATAGATTGGATGGATGGCTTCTATCAAATCCTTATGCGAGAACGGGATATACCCTATACCGCAGTTAGCACGCCTAGCGGCATGCTCTGGGAATGGCTAGTAATGCCACAAGGGCTCAGTAATGCCCCTGCCACGTTCAACAGATGTGTATCACATCTGTTGAGACCAGTACGAGAATTCGCGCCGAGTTATTTCGATGACGTATTCATCCATAGTCGAGCTATGGATGGAAAGTCGGACGTTGAGGTTCACAGGTACCACGTCCGACAGGTTCTTACAATCATGCGAAAGCATCAATTGTATGCAAACCTCAAGAAGTGTATATTTGCAGCAAGCGAAATACCACTTCTTGGGTGCATCGTTGGTAAGAACGGTGTACGTCCTGATCCCGAAAAGATCAAGGCGATCACCGACTGGCCCGTGCCGGTTGATGTCAAAGGTCTTCGAAAATTCCTTGGGCTAGCGGCGTATTTGCATAAGTATTCACGCAATTACGCCGAGATGACTGTACACCTCTCTCGTTTGTTGAAAAAGAACGAGAGGTGGTTATGGAACGCTGAATGTCAACGCTCCTTTGAGGGTATCAAGCAGAGCTTGATACAATCCCCAGTCCTAGCAATAGCCGATCAGGACAGGCCATTTCATGTGGTCTGTGATGCCAGCGATTTCGCAATCGGCTGTGCATTAATGCAGTACGATCTTGAAGGCGTTGAACGCGTCGTCTGCTATCAGTCGCATCAGCTGCAACCAGCTGAGCGGAACTATCCAGTGCATGACAAGGAACTCCTTGCCATGAAGTATGCACTCGCGAAGTTCAGAGTCTATCTATTAGGAGATAGACCCTTCGTTGTTTACACTGACCATGCGTCATTACGCACGGCAGTGAACAGCCCGCACCTTTCACAACGAATGGCGCGGTGGTTGTCATTCTTTGCGGAATACAACTTTACGGTCGAGTACAAACCAGGACGACTTAATGTCGTCGCTGATGCACTCTCACGTCGTCCCGACTTTGAAACAGTCGCGAAACCCAACAGTGAGACAGTCACTGTTGCGGTTATGACGTCCTCAGTTCCATCTACAACGTTGTATGATGATGTGAGGCGGGCATACGCCCAAGATGGTGAGATAGTGAAGTTGTTGACACATCTCTCCCAACCATCTCGAGAATCGTTGAAACGATTGTCGTCTGCGTATCGATCTGCATCAGATCGATACACTACTCGTAACGGGTTACTGTATTATACAGCCGTTTCTGGTGACACACCACGTGTTGTCATTCCAGATGATATTGATCTGCGTTTGCGGATCATGTTCGAGTATCACGATGCTCCTATAGGAGGACATCGTGGCCGAGATAAAACATATCTCACGGTGAGTCGAGACTTTTACTGGCCCCGCCAGTATCAATTTGTGCGCAAGTATGTTCGCGCATGTGAAGTCTGTCAACGAGTGAAGTCAAGTCCTTCACTGCGTGCACCTTTACAGCCTCTACCAGTTCCGGCAGAGTGCTGGGAATCCATCTCAATGGATATCGTCTTCGGGTTACCCAAAGACACACGCGGGAATACGGGTATTCTCGTATGTTGTTGACAGATTCAGCACAATGGTACATCTTGTTGCTGTACCAGAGTCAATCACGGCAAGTGGCTGTGCTTGTGTCTTTATTGACACCATCTTCCGACTTCATGGGTTGCCCCGTGAACTCGTATCAGACAGAGATCCACGATTCACTGCTGATTTCTGGCGTTCCGTGTTCAAATCACTCGGAACGCGCTTGAAAGATGTCAACATCTGATCATCCAGAGTCAGATGGTCAGACGGAACGTGCCAATCGTGTCCTTGAAGAGATACTTCGAGGATACGTACACTCCTTTAAGAGTTGGAGTGAGTTTTTGCCGATGGTAGAGTTTGCCATCAACAACTCGGTGCATGCGTCCACGACACATACACCGTTTTACGTGAATGGCTTGCGCCATCCGCGTGTACCCACCTTACTAGAGTGTAACTCTGGTTTAAGGGGGGAGGGACTCGCGCGAGCAAAAACCGATTTGGTTCACGCTCATCACGCTCTGACGAAGAAGTCATTGCGTTTGATGCCGATATCGATAACATCGATATCGAAGAAGATGATGCCAGTGAGAGTGCGGAAGCCCTCACTGAAGACAATGATCCCAGTGAGAGTGCGGAAGCCCTCACTGAAGAAAGGTTGTTGTCGCTGCAGTGCGCTCACAGCACACTGAAGCTAACGAGTCATCAGATGAGTTCATACTGGCTCGTGAAACGGTAGTCCGTTTTGTGCAAGACTCCATCGCCGAAGCGGTGGATAAGCAAAAAGCAAAACGCTGACAAGAATGGAAGGGCAAACACTCTTTTTATTTAATAAAGGTGACTTAGTCCTACTGTCTACGGTTAATCTACCAAAGCATGTAGTGACTAACTTGGGTAGCAGTAAACTACTACCCAAGTACATTGGCCCATTTCGTGTATTGCACCGCCTAGGCAATGCATACACGATCGAGTTACCACGTAAGATGCGAACGCATCCCACGTTTTACGTTGGTCGGCTTAAGCCGTACCATCAGTACGCTGCTTCTTCCGATGAAGAACGCCCTTGCGCTCAAGCATCTCGCAGAGAGCCTTGTGCTCCCGATGGTGGGCATCAACAAGGGTCTGAAGAGCAGTTATCTCAGCCCGAGACCGATCAACAATCCCACGAGCTACCCTTAGCTCGTCACGAAGAGATGTCAGAGATCTCTCGTTCTCAAGCTGAGCAAAGGCAAACTCAGCTCGATGCTTCGAGGCAGTGTCCACCATCTGGAGACGCCTATTCCGCTCATGCTCGAGATCGTCGCGTAACCCTTGCGTTACGCGATCAAAGAAGCTCTCGGGAACACACCGATCCCCATGATCGTGTGGAGAGCGTCTTTCCTCCTCCTCCACCTCCATTAGAGGACTCTCGCGGTGGCCAGCGCTATCTAGTTGAGCAGCTGTTGAACCACCGCGACTTGAACGGACGTCGGACGAGTTATCTCGTCCGGTGGCGCGGCTATCCCCCGTCCTGGGATACTTGGGAGCCCCGCTCCCAACTGATGGTTGACGTACTGGGTCTGGTTGAGCAGTACGACGCGGCACATCCTGTGCCGCAGAAGGACCGCCGGAGAAAGTCTTCCCGGCACGGTCGTAAAGGGATTTCAGGTTGTCAATCCCTTCGTACATCTCACTAGAGATACGTACGCGCCACCACGGGCTATTAGGGAGGTAAGCCTCCTTAGGTGCGCACGCAGAGTTGTTCACACAACACGGGCACGAGTCTCCCCAAGAGAGGCAGTGTAATACTTTCTCCCTTGACAGACGATGCAGCTTGTAGCGTGCACCTGTCGGGGCTCGCTTTTCAAACTTATCACGAGCTTTGATAAGTTTGTCGTTCCAAACGTCACGACCTACATCCTCAAGGTTATGGATGTAAGCGTTCCACGTTTAGAGCAGTGAGGGACCATTACGTTTGTGATTCCCACTGTACCATCGATTTTTAAAGAAAGCATCGATGAAGAAATCATTCTCAGCGCGATAGTTTTCGAGCTGGGATCAAGGTGATGGATCCTTGACGAATCGAACAACCGTGTTCGATAACGATCACTCGTCGTCGCCGACAAGTGATCCATGACGGATTTGGGAGGCATCCATGCCATCTTCTCGGGAGCGAGACGCAACGCATTGCGGTCCCGCTCTTCTTGCGACTAACCGACAGAAGTACTGGTACCTCGCTGCGAAGTGGTGTCCATAGGAGAACCGACACCACTGTGAGCGCCCGAGTCTTGCGACCTCGAGCGCCTTCGCTTCGGCGATGGTTCATCTGATTCGTCAGATGAACCAAAGATGCTACGACGCATAGCATCATCCATGCCGCGCTTGGCAGGCGCCTTGGTTTCAAACGCCTTCGATACGGAACCGTCTTCCGTATCAGGAGAGTATGAGACACCGAGCTCATACTCTGTGAAGACATGAGTGTCTTCAAGACCAGCGCCTGCATCACCAGGTGACACAGGCTGAGTCGCTTCAGCAACCGATGAGACATCAGTTGCTGTTGTTTCTGCTTCGGCGTCCGCACAGAGACGTGCGGACACGCTCTCGGCGGCCTTGCTCGCGCATCGCATGGGCTTGTTAACCATGCGATGAATTGTTGGAAAGTGGACTCGGACCAACAAGTTCAAACCCAGTCCCAAATGATTTGGGACGAGTATCCATTTAGTCAATCAGTCACTAAAGTGACTGATGGTTAAGGGGGAGGGTGATGTAACGGGGTGAATCGTTACATAACAATTTATAAGAAATTGTTAATAGAATATAACTATAAGAGTTATATTCTCATAATATTGTCATAAGGACAAATATTCTGTAGCACTTACGAGTAGTTCCTAATTGGTTGATATAGGCCATTATACCAAACGACGAAGACGCGCCACGACAGACGCACGCAATGAGTGGTGAGCAGATACTTGATTTGCACATTTGTATTTAGACATAGTTAGATGAGGATAAATAGTGATTTATTAACAGACATTAACTGTGATAAATACAGTTGTACTTTTTTACTTAATCTAAGTACTCGCTTCTTCTTACCGTCTTCCTCTGCACGTACGAGTGTACGTGAAGTTCCGAGGCACCGCCTTACTCTTTCATCAGAATAAGTAGCTTGTACTGTTACCAGTACAAGCTTCAGGGTGCCCTTTTACACCATTGGCATCCGGTGGACCAAGTTTGTGATTGTGGCGACGTTTACCCGGGCTGAGGAACTGCCTCAACCCAAAAGAAAAGACGAACAGGCATTATTTGAGAGTAATTAGCATACCTTTACGACTACATGCACGACGGTGACGATATTTTAGCAGTGAATATTCCCAGTTGGCGCCCGCTCGTCGAGCCAAATAAAATCATGCTTTTGCCCAGAAGTCGGGTTTTAATGTATGAAACCAAAACCCAGATTGTCTCGCCAAAAATAATCGGGATTTTTCTATCCTGCTCATTGCAGATGATAAGCAAGCGACAGTTTAGTTTTCTTACACCTTTGACTGCATAATCGTTAACGTACAGCGTAATCAAAACTGATGCAGGAGTAACTGCGTGAAAACAGTATTTACCGGTTGGCATTGTCGTCACGTATTTTCCTTCTTACGCAGTCATCGTGAAAGATTCCTCACATCTCGGTCTCTTTTAAACGCGAATTATAACGGCACATATCAGGTGGTATGTGCTTGTTGCGCTAGCACAGCCTGACAAGGTTTCGCGTCCCCTTCTATTCCCTTAATCCGTTTCTTGGCTGTACACTGCTTATAACTCCCTTCGCCCTAAGAGAAGGAAAATTTAAGCTCAAAGGAACTAGTAGCTGCGTACGTAAATTGTATCGCATTGGGATAATGAAGAAACGTAATGACGCCCTTGATCCGATCTTTGCTCATACATATCACGTTTGAACGCCTGCTTTCAAGCTTATGCATGTTTAAACGCGAACGGATTAGACCTCATTGTTGCCGACCCTGCACCATGGATATTAAGGCACATTTTTTTCACGCATTTAACCTCAAGTGTGTTGCTAATTGGACAAGCTTACTTGGGATCGGGTTGTGTTCGTGATGCATAGATCGTAGTTACACCAGTATTGTGCATTTGTAAACTAGATGACCCCTTTGCATTATCATCAAGTGCATAACTTCTTCCGCGTCTGACCCTTCATTCAGACTACCGTCACATACGTCGGTCCTAGGTGAGGAAGCAGCTTTAATACCAGCATCAGACTTTTAGCATTTCTTATTTTTCCGGTAATACTGGTGCTGCACCAGGTTCGACTACTTTTTTTACTTGGTGAATTGTCGACGTCAGAGCATACTGGCTTGCACAGCTTACATTTTTTACAGTCGCTTTCAAAAATGTCATTAGCTTTAGTTACGACGGCTCTTTACTTCAACCATCCCGCTTACTCACAGTACTTAAATAAAGCGGAATGGTTTAAGTGTAGCGCCGTCGCTCCCTTTTTACGTACCGCAGTGTATACTGAAAGTGATATACAAATGCGTGACTTGTCCATATCATCTTTTTGAACGCAAGGGATCACTTGACTTCTTTAAACCAAATCTTGAGAGAAGCTTTCATAGAAAGGTAAATTTTATTTAGTGCGAAGTTGTAACGGGGCACCCTTTCGTTTGGGGTGCCGCGAAACTTCACGTACACTGGTACGTGCAGAGGAAGCTAAACTACTTGAACGACTCGATCAAGTAAGGCAAAAAGAGAACTGTGTCTAATACATTTAAGCTCTCAATACAACTTCAATGTTCATCAAACTATATTAAACTACGCCGTCGTATGACGACAACCTGCTCACCACTCATTGCGCGCGTCTAGCAGCGATTGGTGGCGATCTATAGTTGATATGTGTTATATCAACCAATCTTGGAGCATCGAATGAATTTTATCCAAAAGGGGATAATATTCCTTCATGTTATCCATTCCGGATAATATCGGTAGAACATTGTCACAATAGACAATTACCTTTTTGACAGCTTTTGGTGTCAATTTCATGTAACGGGCTACCCCTTTACATCACTCTCCCCCTTAACCACAATCACCCGTTGGTTGAATTAGAATTGATTGGGATAGGGTGACTTTCGTTGGATCACTCTGGGAAAGGGAGCACTTGTTGGTCAAATTCCATTCATCTGCCAATTCAACGCATGGTTTTAAAACCACGCGAGCTGCTACTGCAGCAGCAAGAAGGGCGGCTGCACGCATGCTTGCGGCCGCGGAGAGTGCCTCTCACACCTCAGCAGCAAGCGATTCGTCGCCTGTTGTCGTGAATCCTCCACGTGGTGAATCCTCCACGTGGTAAGTCACCACCTGCGACAGGTACATCCGTTGCGTCTGCAGCGGGTACCTCGAGTCGTAATTAAGACGAGTCTGATATAGAGCTCATCTATTCCGGCGAGTCGGATGATGCAAATAACTCGAAGGCGACTCCTCACGCCTCCTGATCACCGGGGCGGAGACTGCAAGAGCCAGGTTGACTGGCTCTGGTCAATGCGGCGGTATCATGACCGAGATCTTCGAATCGAGTGATTATTCCGATGAATCGTCACCTCACGCATGTCCATCCAACGATAGGACGCGTGGGGATGGTGGTGATGCACCTATACATCACCACGAGCGAATTGACTCAAGGGATCGGGGTAACACTGGTGCCAGTGCTCATGCTGGCACCAATCAAGTGGCCAGGAACCGAAATGTCCTGCGCCACGCTCCCCAAGTGGAGTCTCTGTGGATGCCGTCATCCAGAGAGAGGGACCGGTTGGCCGGCATGACTACCGAACGGGATCGAATGCCGTTGTTCTATTGCAGGAAGATTTGCCCATCTGAATCCAGCACGGAAACTATCCGTGCTGAGGAATAGTTCTTCACCGATGCGTTCTTCAAAAATCGGTGGTTCAACGGAAAGCGTAACCGGGAAGGTAAGGCCTTGGTGATAGGATGGAATGCTCTCATCCACAACATCGAGTGTATCGGCCGTGAGGCCTAACTCGATAAACTTGATGCAGCACTCATCAGGTTTGAGAAACGCAACCCAGTCGGCATGCGATACGAGTTGCATCGACTGTCAAGAGAGGCAGGATTGCTCTGTCTCTCGTTGGGTGATTCGTGTCCAGGTTGCCTGGACATCTCGAAGCGTGCCCCTATGGACGCCTACCTCCCTTATGATCCCTACTGGAGGGCGCGCATATCTTCCGAGATGGCCGAAGGGATTTACACTTTGCAATCTCTGTACTCGCGTTCGGGGGGGTCGTTTTCCGACGGCCCTTCTTCAAATGCAGCGGGTGGGTCTAGTCGTACTGCTCGACGAGAACAAGGACATCAACAATCAGCTGGGCACGAGGCTCCCAGCTGACCCACGCCGGTGGATAGCCACGCCAGCGGACGAGGTAGCTCGTCCGGACGCCATTCACATCGCGGTGATTCAAAATGCTCTCCAACGGAAAGCGTTGACTACCGCTTGAGTCCACTACAGGATGTGGTGGTAGCGGGAACACCTGATCAGATAGAAGATCAGATCAGCTTGATGTTCAGAAAGTGAACCGTGAAACGGAACAGTGACACGATGACCTGGCCCGTGAACAAAATGTGGGTTTTGAGCTACATGAAATTGTAAAAGACCACTACATTTTCTAAGCGCA